TATTAGGGCGCTTAGACACGCCTTCCTTAATTTATCTTGACAACTATATTTAACGTGGAAGTAAAATCCATGCACTTTGATACTCGTAGCTATTTACATTATATTGTTTCCTTATTTGTATTATATTGTATTATGGTTACCAACTTCACATACCATATAGGTAGGTATGGGAAGTTTAATACATTTCCCCAAGGCTGACTAATTTTGTAGTAGAACAGCTTTACTCATACCTATACTTTACTGATGCTTTATCTAATAAATAATGATGATTTTCCATTGGCTTTATTTTTCTTAATTAAGGAAACAAACAGAAGAGGATCTCCTAAAAATGGTATTGAAAAGTTGTTTAGTGCCATAACACAATCACGCATTTCCTAACAATAATCAGCACTGGAACTGAGCACTGAGAACTGTGGAACTGAGAACTGTCATAATGTCAACAAATTCTGAAGAGAAGTAAGCAGCCTAACCTGATTCTGGAATGTTCTCGAGTAAGATGGAACAATGACAGCCAGGGTGACTAGAAGCGATTGGAAAAAGAAAGACAAGGATGGAAGAAACCATTACTTGACTAGATTCCAAAACATTCTATTCCACAGAACTATTCAACCTTCACTGATAGTAGCCAAACTGTAGATCCTGGCTGTACAGGAGAAGCAGTGGTGTAAAGTATGGAACGGGACTATTTCCATCTCCCGTTCCCTGTGTAGCCAGGATCTACAGCTTGATTACTAATCTCCAACCAATGAAGGTCAAGTTTGTCCAGGACTCACCGTGGAAAACTAAAAGTAAAAGATGTCCGTTACTTTTTGTCACATGGTGGCCAAGATAAGTTCGTTAAGTGCCTACTTAATGAGACTAATATTATAAAGGCGAAACTTTGTAAATGTGTATGTTTGTTACTTATTCACGTCAAAACGGCTCAAGCAATTTTAAATAAAATTGGTATGGAGTTAGCCGACGCTCTAGAATAACACATAGGCTACGTTTTACCGCGCGTAAAACCGCGGGGCACAGCTAGTTTATCACAATAGTAATTATCTAAAACAGAAATCCTTGGTAATTTTCACCTAATGCACAAAACACAGTTGTAGCCAACACGAACGCAATCGCCTCGCATTCTCGATTGTCGCCGGTGCTTATCGGTCGCATCGACTCTGCATAAATCAAACGACTAATGTCCGTAACGACTGCACATCAAACTAAACACTGGCACCTTAACTAGTTGTATTAGGAGCTATTTTGCAAGAAAATGTAGAGTCTGATGTGCTATCGACTGTACAAATCTATTTTTCGACGTCGAATCAAGTTGGGGATTAGGTTGTGTCAAATTAGGCCGCTGATGACTTATTTGTTTATATTTTCTGATAAATTTAAGTTTTTAGTCTTATTTTTAGCATGTGGTATATTTAACCGGCCATTTATCACAAAGTGTAAGAGCCATTATGCTCTTATTCCTCATTGGATTGTCGAATTGAATTTCTCCCCTATTTGGATTTGCGAAAATTCTGTGATTAAAAGTCTACAACATTCGAGCATAGCTTAGGAAACAACCAGTGAATTATTTAGTATAATCATAGGGGACCCCTATGCCCATCTTCATACAATCAATATTTAAAATATTCTAGTTTTTTCTAAAATAACTTTAACAAATAGGCAAATGCAAGTATTTTACTTATCGCCTATTACATAAGCGTGCCAAAGTAATTTAAAAAGAACGATACAAAAGAAAAAAGAACTGATGATAAAACAAAGAAAAACACCGATGATAAAACAAAGAAAAACTCGGTCAAAATAAAACTACGAATGCAATTCAAAACGACCTTCTCAATAATAATTGTAGTGCGTTATATCATCGGCAAATTAAATACAAGTAATAAATGTTTTTAATATTTGTTATTATTTTTTATATGTGCGGATCGAATCCACCATTGTTCAATATTGAAGTTCATAAGCAATAAACACTTAGCTAAATAAAAGGCCTAATAACCGTGAAAGGCTAAAATTGTGTGCCTTAGAAACTGCATAAAACGCGAAGTTAATTGAAAAAATGTAAGGAATCGAACGGTGTGCGCACGCGTTCACAATAATTGATTAATATGCAATTGCCGTCAATAATTTTAAAAATAAAAACCTAAAGCTAGAATACATCCGAACGAATGTTATAAAATTGCTATTTTATTTAGAAAACTAACTGCATGCGGCTAAAGCCGCTAGCGAATGCTAGTCTTCTTCTATACTTATAATAAATCTGTAGAGAGGTCAATTCTGTACATGAAGTATATTTTCAAAATAACTATCAGGAGGTGATTAGTGATCGATACTGATGCCAAAAATGCAATCAGTAAAATTTTTGTCTGTCTGTCTGTCTGTCCGTCTGTCTGTCTGTCTGTCTGTCTGTCTGTATGTTCCTTATAGAAACAAAAACTACTTGACGGATTTTAACGAAACTTGGTACAATTATTCTTCATACTCCTGGGCAGGTTATAGGATACTTAGGAATTCCCACGGGAACGGGAATTAGCGGGAAAATCCTTTTGTATGAAAAATCTAAACCGCTTAAGTTAGACGCTTGAAATTTGGCATGCAGGTACCTTAGTGAACGTAAAGCTTAGTTACAACAGGATATTGCAAAATTCTCACGGGAACGGGAGTTAGCGGGAAAAAACATTTGTATGAAAAAATCTAAACCGCGTAAGATAGATGAAGGGGGTAAAACGGGATCCACGCGTACGAAGTCGCGGGCGGCCGCTAGTCAATAATAAAATCTGTGCAAAGCACGGGGGCATATAATATTTTATTTATGAAGACACATTTATAAAACATGCATTCACACACCAACCGAGGTGAAAATATCTAAAATTCATCCAGACTATCTTCCATTTACACCTCATTGATAAAATATCCACGTTTCCTTCGAAAGTAATACCATTTCATTCGAGATGTCTTGTATATCACTTCAATCAATATAGGTATCAGCTAAATGGAATTTCTAGAAATATCAAAGTGTACAGAATATCAAAATTTCCGTAGTATTTTATTCATCCACATTTCCCAGCGCCTCGGAATATCCACGGATTATACGTCGTCCCGCGTATTACGACGCTCGGGTCTATATTTCACAATAACATCTGATCTATCTCCACAAACGATAAAGGATCTATTGAAAACGTTGAAATAAGTGCTCCTATCTCAAACAAAACCCGCAAAGTACATACATTGAGCCGAAGTATTTTATCCTCCAGACGCTTTCACGTTCAAAGATTATATTATTGTTCTATCCAGTTATGTTTTGGTTAACGTTACAGTGATATTTCTGTCAAATGTATCATCCAATGACAGATTTGACAGCACTGACATTAAAGTAATCGCCTCTAAAATTATCTCTAATAAGCGCACGTAACATTACCTCCATAATTATTGCAGCATCCGCATCTTCATTTCAAGTTAATACGCAATTATTTAAAACTCGTTTGGAACATGTATGGGATGCATCCTTTCTATTTCCATCGCAGTATCACACTGCTCAAACATAATTACATGGTACAGAATAGTTTCATGGGATAACAAAATAAGGACCCCAAAAAGGGTGAATCGTGGGAGTAGGTCGTGTAACTTGTACATCCAAATTAGTTTGGGACTAGAGAAAGCAAAGTTTCGGACCTCTAGCTCTACTCAAAATGTCGCAGAAAACGTGCAAGTTAGGCCCAAGACAATTAAAGTGGCGTGTCGTAATGAGGGGCAGGCCGACTCGAAAAATCATGGCAGCGTCATCATGACACTAGATGTTTTAGTAATAACACGCTTTGCTCGAGAGGAAGTGTCGTCGAGTCGTCGACAATTATTCTGTGATGTATTGAAAACAACCTTAAGATGTAAGAATAACATGGAGACATTGTCGCGATTTATACAATAAGCGTCCATAGAACGACTTTCACACGGCAAAAGGATACGCGACGCAATTTAGAGTCACATACACATAGTTGCAGGGGAACCAGTCTACAGCTGGCCGTATGTTTAAAAAGGCAGTGCAATAATAATTCTTGAACGTCTGCGGCTTAGAAGCCGTAATTCCGTAAGAACCTGCTGCAGGTACGCATCAAATATTAACATAATAACGCGAATCGTTGAAAGCATTTTTTTTATTAATAAGATTACATCACCAGAAGCCGGAGGTTCTAAATGCGTCGTGCTTTAGATCAACCACGGACTAAGTAGATACAAAGCAACCTCTTTTTCTACAAGAAGCTTCATTCATTTAATTTAAAAGAAAGGGTATGAACAGAATTTACCGATTGTATATTGCGGGTAGGTATTGCACGAAATCCTTCACTAATGTAAACATAATCAACCCTAACTTTATGGATACTTCGTTAGTCAATTCCAACCGCTTGAAACCTCATCACATCCATTAGATATTACGTTTCAGTAACTGAATTAGGCTGAACTATTGAGGTTGGCAAATTACACCTTCGAGGGGAATTCCCGACTTATGTAGGTCCAATAGTTTTCGGTTTCATTAGCCGAGGACTGTACGACGTCTCGGGTTCTTCGCTAAATTTTGAACGGAAAGCGTAATGAGCGTCTTAAATAAGATTTCAAATTGAAATAACGTTGCTCACAAATTCATCAAGAACGGTTTACTTTCAATCACTTTACGCGATGAGTTCTGAATTTGGTGCGTCGTCATTTCTAACGTTTGTGTTACGAAATGTTAAGTGCGTAATATCAGAAGGGCAGATTCACCATGAGATTCAAGTGTTGGTTAATGAAGTGTAACGCAGAAGAATTGGGAAAGCAAAAGTGTGAAGCGGCGACTCGTCGTGCAATCGTCCGAAGCAACAAGTGCATCCAGCGGGATCTCCCGTGCGGTAAACAAAGAAACAACCATTGGAATTCTCAAGACGGAGGCAACGATCGTGAAAACTGGGCCGGACATATGTGCCGCGGCCGTGACCGTTTTACAATCACTTTTCAATTAATAAAGAACCAGCATACACCTGACTGCAACGGATTAAGTATCACTCGGCTAGCCGGGGTGTGCGCCCGTCCTTACGCTTGCTCACTCACGGCACACTTGACAACACTGCTAGTTAATGTGATTTGTTTACGTACTTTTAGAGGTATAACACAGGACACAGGTTCACAGGTAGCACGAGTGGTAGCGACTGCCGCACAACACGCGTGTGCTCCGTCCGACGCCCGTCGCGGTACTGGCTACGAGCCGCGAGTCGACGCTACGCGGCGAGCGGACAATTCGCAACTCGAATACTTACCTACGTAACGTAACTTAACTCCATAATATTTTATAGTTTCGTAAGCGTGCTACTCGATTACTGTGCGCCGTTCGACTCTAATCGATGTCACGATTCGGGAGACGGGAGCGAGCCTTGGGACTTGAAAGCTCACGTATGGCCGCGTCAAGCTAGCTCGAGTGCTCAGAACGTACCCAATACGAGCAAATCACTAGGCCGAAATCTGAATTATGGAATCCTGGGATTACTTTTCCAAAGCAGTTCCTGTAGACACTGCAATTTACGTGACAGAATCAATTTCTTAAGTCGGCATCTACCTACTGTTTTCAACCGACTTCAAAAAAGGAGGAGGTTCTCAATTCGACCCGTATGTTGTTTTTTTTTCTATGTTTGTTACGCGATAACTCCGCCAATTATGGACCGATTTGAACAAATCTTTTTTCGGCGTATAGGTAATACCTCAAGGGTGTGGTCCCATTTAAATTTAATAATAGAAAAAACAACCCCCAAGGGTGGAAAATTGGGGATGAACTTTTTTATACGCAATATCTCCGCCGATTATAAATCAATTTGAACGATTTTTTTTTGTTGAATAGGTATTATCAAAAGGGTGGTTTCATGGGAATTTGAAGAAAATATTTCACCCCCAAGGGTGGAAAATTGGGGATGAACTTTGTTATACGCAATATTTTTAATTTTTAGTTTTTTTTTGTGTTCACGCATTTAAAGTCGGTTTTTTTTTTTAAAGTTAATTATTGACCTACAATTTAAGGAAAGCATAGCGATCACACACAACATGTAATCTCTCAGTTGCCAGCCAATTATCGTAACGAGATACAATGTTTCTTCATCCCATTTTAGTTATTGAGTTCTTCTCCCTTTGACAAGAAACTCAACAATCATGATCAATAAAAAACCAACGCATTGGAAGATCGGTGCAGTCCTGTTGTCCCCCTGGGGGAGCCAACAGGATTTCGAAATCCTGTTGGCTCCCCCAGGGGGGCCAAGCAGGGGGGACAACAGGACTGCACCGGAAGATCAGGTGAATTTTAGCTACTTATTATGCCTTTGGGAAAATGCGAATAAGAATTTTAAACTCCAGAACTTCTGCATGTACGCGTAGTCATTTAAGAAAATGCTTGCTTAGAAGGTGTCTTCAGGGAGTTTAAAAAACTGACACCTCATTATTTCCTTTTCCGGTGCGTCATTATTCGTTTCTCTGAAAAGGCATATTTTGGACCTTCTTAAGGCTAAAATTGTATGACGTATTAACACTCTATTTTCAGCTTTTATTATGGCTAAAGTTTTCATCTCCGTCATACAAAGCCTTCGGACGTCTGCTGAAAAATTCCTCCCACACAACCACACCTCCCACGTCAATGGGGTTCTCAGAATATTTACTTAAAGGCACTATGGCTTTAGTCTTTGTTCCATGGTTTGTCTATCTGCCAGAACGTCTTCTCCTGCTGCGTTTAAATGGTTTTTTACATCCGAATCAGAACCATTTATTTGCTTTATATCTTGAGTTCTCGTAACTTTGTTCTATATCTTCAAAAGTTAATGTTTTGCATTTTCTATTTCAAAAATCGATGAGATTGAAAAAGTTCTCTATCTACCTTGTAGTTGGTTTAGTTTTAAATAAGGTTTTAAGGTTGTTGCCAAAATCTTAAATTGTAAGCACAACGAATTCGATAATATGTAGTAGCATTTGCTAGTAAATGGCTTAAACGTACTAGTTCTAGAATTTGAACCCCTTTTAAATTAATGAAAACAAGAGTACTCTTGGTGAAACTTGTAATTTTTTGATCAATTGACCATCAGTCAACTGTACATAAATAAGTGGCTTTTAATTAAAGCTTGCTTTTTAGTTCTTCATTAAACGACTGTAAAATAGAGCTTTATCAAATATTTTTAGAACTTTTCCAAGCTCAGCTTTCCGCTCCCAGCGACAACAAAAATGGTCGCCGCTATGAATATTCAAGTTTCTTGATGAAAAGTCACTCTGGATTTGATACATATCACCGACCATGCCCCGGTTTACCATAAAACCTAAAACTTCCATAAGATTATTTCGTGGAATCCGTTGAAACTTGTTGCTAAAGCAAAAACAACAGGGCTTTAGAAGAGTCTTTTTTACCCAAGATTTTTTTTTTTAATATTTTTTGTTAGTGTGCTATTCTTAGATAGATTCAATCAAAAGATTGCGCACATTGAATTTTAACACAGTTGTCGGTAATAAGTATAGATTACAAATCTCTAGAGAAAAACCTGAGATGAGCTTTGCAACTAAGTTGAAAAATTAAACACTACGTAGGTTCTTATAGTAGGTACGAGATACGGTTAGAAACAGTCTGATACTGATAAACATAAGTAAGTATTTGTACATACAATTAATAATGGTTTGTTATACATAACTGTATCTACTGATCAATAAATATTAATTCTAATACAAGTATCTATGTAACGAAAAATCTTTTCGATCAACTTTCCCCATTTGATATTTATAATAATCGAATATTAGCCGAAAGAATAAAAGAAAAATATGAGTTATCGGATACAAAAACATTACTTAGCGTAATTAACACAAGTACCAACATACCGTTTATCGGTTATATGGTATAATCGAATTCGTTTTGAAATAACTAATGAGACCTAACTAATATGACATGCGACTTGATTTAAATTAAAATCCCAGTAAGAAATTGGAGCAGATGGATCCAACGAAATGAAAACTGGTAAGAATTTACATGTACAAGAGTGAAAAATCTCTGGAATTTATGTGGCCATTTATTAGACTAATGGCCCTACTTTTGGTCGACCTTCTTCGGGCAAGTCCTAAGTCAACTCAAACTATACCTACACGCAAATTCGGCAAGACAATTAGATAAAGCCTTTGAAAGCTAGACAGCTCTACCTCCGATAAGTATACGTGGGCTAAACTTTAAGGAAGGCTCTATTTTGAGATATAGTCCTACTGGAAACAGTAAAGTACTTTCCGACTGGATATTTCTTAACAATATAAGGTACAAGAAGACAATTGAAAGCACATAGGTAGTTCCATAAAATTCGTAAATAATTATTACATATCTTGTATATTGTTCTCTTATATGGGACAGGAGGCAAACGAGCAGACGGATCACCTGATGGTAAATAAAAGTATTTACTGTAAGTACCTAATTGAAAAAGACAAGGCTGACAAGGGTGACTAAGTTTCTTCCGCCTCTTCTTCTCAGCAACAGCCCATAATATGTTGTTCCAAAGTGGTGGTAGCTATAATTTGGAACATGTATAAATAAGCGCCTTGGATAAGGGCCTAAGTAATGAATAAAAGCTCGCAGAATTGCTAAAATCAAGTGGCAGTGGGCGGATCACATAGCTCGTAGAGACGATGGCCGTTGGGGCAGAAAAGTTCTCGAGTGGCGACCACGGGCTGGAAGACGTAGCGTGGGCAAACATCCTACTAGGTGGACCTACGATCTGGTAAAGGAAGAACCTGGATGCGGGCAGCGCAGGACCGTTCATTGTGGAAAACCTTGGGGGAGGCTTTTGTCCAGCAGTGGACGTCATTTGGCTAAAAACGAACGAACTGAATAAAAGTTTCGACTTTAAATAGTTATAGATTCAAGCATTACAATTGGTTTTTCAACTTGAGTTTCCTTTCAGATAGGAGCAACATTTTAAGAATGCAGACTACACAATAAAATACTCAGTTTTATTGGTAGGTGTTTCCTAAATCCAGCGCCATTGAACATGATACTAGGCGTGTTTCTCTTACATTTTGTTATTGCGAAACCGTGTCCCTGTGAGCTACACGATAAAGCCATATGCTAATCGCGGCGACGCTGTGTGCTCGCTCGGGGAGATTTACCCCGGATTCTGGGGTAATTAAGGTGACACGGGTAGTCGGGTACAACTACGTATTTTGTAACTAAAAGTCTGGTATATATGTTTTATTCATGACAAAATTAAAACAATTCTTTAACTTTAGTGACTGGAAGAGCTATCGAAACTTTAAAAAACTTGTTTGAAGCTAAATTCTTTACAAGAATATTTAGTTTTCAGAAGAAAACACCTGAAAAGTATTTCACTGAACTTTTGAGCTGCTAATGAATTAAAAAATCTAACTTTCTGCAAGATATGACATCTTATTAAATCAGACTTGAAGACCACCAGCTAGAGACGTTTAGCTGTTCCCCAAAATATGTAACCGTTTAGCATTTTGACAATTATTTAACATCCGTACTAAATTGACCAATGTCATTGTAACTTCGTCCTTTCTATCCGAGAAAACCCGAAATCTATACTTATACTTCTATACTAAATTATAAATGCCAGAGTAACTCTGTCTGTCAGTCTTGCTTTCACGCCTAAACCACTGAACCGATTTTGATGAAATTTGGCATAGAGATAGTTTGAGTAATAGGAAAGGACAGGATAGTTTTTATCACGGATTTTGAAACAAGGACGCGCGCGATAAAGTTTTCTGTGACAGAAAAAATTCCATGCGGGCAAAGCCGCGGGCGGAAAGCTAGTAATCTATAATTCTCCAAAGAAACCTTAGAGATGTACCACTGAAAATCAGTGTCTTGACTGTCAAGATGTTACTGAGTGGGTGACCTTTTTTGGCAACTTAGTTAATCTTTTTTTGTATGTCTTTGTTGCCTGAATTTGTAGTTGCCAAAATAAAATTATTATCTTTCTTTCTTTCTTAGATGTGGCATGGAACCCAATGGGTAAACTGAGCGTGCTATGGCAACACTGGTATGCAGCTAAACTTTTAAAGATCACTTGCTCGACGTGTAATAATCACCCGGAGCGATACTAATATAACGCGTTTACTTCATTCTGCACCATTTGAATTCTGCAAATATTATGGGAATTTTATGCTGTTGCTATTACTGGCCCTGCATATAAAAATCCCGTTATTTACCAACTAGCTTTCCGCCCGCGGCTTCGCTCGCGTGG